CATTCGCAGCCGGCAATTTTTCCACTTTCCTAATACTGAAAGCCGGTTAAAACAAAAAAATTCAAAAATAGATTGCCACAGATTTCTGTCATTAATACAAGAATAAAAGTGATAACATTTTGTTTTCAAGAAAATCAAATGCAAAAAACCGTTAAATATGATAACTCAGCGGCAACCAAAGGAAGCTTACGAAATGACGTGAATTCACATCAGCGGCAACCAAGAAAGAGGAAAAATAACAAAAGTAGAAATAACAAAATTTTACTCCTTAACCCTTATGTCAATAACCGGGTAGGTACCCTTTTGCATGATTCTCACTTAAAATATTTGATCTTCCAGGTGAAAGATTTAAATATCCGGCCAGATCGTTGTTATTTCGCACATTTCCTATCCGTGTTTGCCTCAAGTTTAGAATTTTCTTATCAGAAAACTACTAAAATTGGACGATAAAGTAGACGGCAATTGTGGTTATTGACATAAGGGTTAAGAAAAGATCCATAAACAAAGGAAAAATCGATACCACAAAACCACCACTAACGAGAACCATCGTAATCTCTAAGCCCTCTGTTAGCAACTACGAACAACTATTCACCATATTACACACTTACAGCCTAACTCTTGCTTTAATACAGGCTAGGAAGATATCGCACCTTGGCCCTGTTCGTCTACGTCCCAGTTCCACGTCAGTGGCGCGGCTCGTCCTGCCACGCGAGGCGTCGCGACGCGTCCGCGGCGTGCGCCGGTGGCGAGCGTCGCGGCGTCGCCTGGACTCGTAGCCAGGCAACGCGCATAAAATGACCAGCGTAATAGTTTGAAACGAAACGGTCGCGGGAGCGGATCGAGATTCTCGATCACCAACCACGATTTTTCCCCGTTTTATTTTCTTTGTTTATTTGTTTTTGAGGCATCCTCGCCGATCCCCTATTGTCGCCGTCGTCGTCGACGTCGAGACGCTCGATGGAGAACCAGAGGGATCGAGGAATACCGAGGGAACGCTCGTACGTACAAGTCGTGCACGCTTTACGCCGCGTTTCCATCGATTCGCTTATGTTCGCTGGCCGAGGATCGAATTCGTTTAGGTGTCCATTTCTCACGAAGAAAAAGAAACTTCTATGGATAACAAAGGAAGTAGAAATTTTCATCAACGAGTGGTTACAGTATATCGAAGGATATTTAAGGGATTGATTTTCGTAATTTTGGAGATGGAGTAAATGTGTGTTTAACCCTTTCACACGGTAGAGAGAACGACGGTGAGGAATAACTTTGAAAATAGTGTATCATTTTCCGATCGGTTGGTTTATGAAAATTTTAGTTGTCAGATGTCAGATACACTTTAACGACTATGTTGCGTGTGATAAAATTTATGACGTGAAATGTACAGTTTCGTACCTGACAAACTTGCTGGGGTCGTGAACTTTGAAAATAGTGTATCATTTTCCGATCGGTTGGTTTATGAAAATTTTAGTTGTCAGATGTAAAAATACGTAGCTTCGATACACTTTAACGACTATGTTGCGTGTGATAAAATTTATGACGTGAAATGTACAGTTTCGTACCTGACAAACTTACTGGGGTCGTACTTGTACTATTCTGTGAAAGGGTTGAAGGGTTATGCGTTGAGAAGTTTGCGCAGTTTATTCAGAAAGCTAATTTCCTCTGTAAAAATTACAATAATACAGTCTCGATCGATTTTGTTTTTCTTCATTTTGCTTTGAATACGTATTATTTAAAACAGTTCACGGTAACAATAGGATAATATGAAAACCTAGACGAGCAAGAACTTAAAGAACTGCAGTATTTTTCACATCAATTACTCCTTTGAAACTCGATTCTAATTAATCGTTAGACTACCTCGTTTAACTATGATGCAGTTGTGCAAGCTTAGAGTTATTGAGTGGGTTAACTAGTTACGTAAAGTCATTCAAATGGATCATTCTTTCATTATTTTCAGCATGATGAATTTTCACTGAGGCTATACACGGTGTGCTAATAGTAGAAGGCTTTGAAAAATTTCGTTTCGGTGTGAAAGAGACTTTAGACGAGGTAAAAGTGAACACGAAGGGACACGAAATTACGAGGAAGCAGATTTAATGGAAGCTCGATGACAGTAATTATCCGTGATGATTTGATTGCGCTCGATAGATCGTCGAGGAAATATTCCTGCATGCTATAGTTCTCGCACATAACTGCACAATGATTTTTTTCTCTTTTTTCGGTTTATCTATTCTGCATAAAAAAAAAAAAAAACAAGAACAAATTACAGGAAATATAGGAAAAGAATTATTTCCTAATTTTACGAATTGGACAAGTTTACCGTTTAGTATTTGTGGTGTTTTTAACGTTCGATTTAATTTTAGCCAAGTTTATTCACTTTTTTCCCCTGTTTGGTGTTAAAAAGAAAAGGTCACCACCTTTCGTTTCGTCCCCAGTTAGGCTAAAAGTTTCGTCGATTGAGTAGGCTAGGCATAAATCGATCGTATACACCCGTGAAGGACGAAACAAATGGCGCAAGAACTATAGAGAAGCTACGCTCGCTCGAATATTTACCTTATACCCTGTACACCAACCATTTTTTACCCGTGTTCTTTGTTTCTTTTTTTCCAAACATCTGCAACTTCATTCCAAGGAAAGACGTGTCTTTCAAACGTCTATCAAATTCGAAATCGAACGGCATAATTTTCCTCCGTAGAACAAACAGACGGACAACTGTAACACTGGCTACACTCTGAATAAATAATCAGAAGTAATCACGCAATGCTATCTAATATTTGAAAACACGTTTTATGAACATGTGTATACAGTGTATCCCATAAGTTTCGCCAGTGTGTTCTACGACTAAAAATAAGATGAAAATATCGTGTAAAGAAAGTCCGTAAATGCCTTATTAAAAAGTTACAAGAAAAATATGAATCGTGAAAAAAACACTGCTATAGTTTGTATTTCGTAAGTGTTGCGCGTTTATCGATACAGGCCTGATGTTGACGTAATATTGAACTTTTTCTTTTTATTTAATGCTGTGAAGCCCGATACAGAATTATTAGCAATATGGAACTTATTGTAAGCCAAATTTCGTCGCAACTTTGTCCAATTTCGTCAAATGTAATGTTGATTCTTTCGATTAATTCTTTTAGAGTTCTTCGTAAATAAGAATCTAGAATCTAACGTATCCTTTCTGTCGTTTCTAATTTTTGTTATAATTTTTTAACAAAGCATTTGTACCGGTGATTATGAAAATGGTCTAACAATTATCTTATACAATTATGCCTCACTTTTTGTAAATCAAAAACCTAAAAAAATTGAATTTATTGTTTATTTTGTGTTGCGTCGATCTTTTCGTACAAAAGAGAGTTGTACATTACAGCAAGAGCAAGTGGTTTGCGTATGTTTTATTACGCAATGAAAAACTATATTTTTTTAATACACCCAAAGGGAAAATTCGAAATATCTCGAAAGGAAAAATACACGACTTTGGCCACTTTCATAATTACCGACACATTTACGAACTTATTTTCAGGTGACATTTTACTCTTACCTTCTGTAAATAGCTATAGAACACGCTGGCTAAGTTTGCACGAAAACCTACGGGACACCCGGTATACAGTAGAGGAACACGAAAGTATTTGAATAATTTGCATTTGAAATGACTATTATATTAATAAATGAGATATCTGATTTCTGGAAGTTTGAAAACAGGTCGCAGTTAGCGTACATCGAATTAACATTGTTTAAGAGCCAAATGAAAAATTTGCACACGCACGGTATCTCGATAAACACGACTGGCTATTTTAATATCGTGTCAAGGAGTTAATTATGCATGCTTGTATCCAAGATCAAGCTTCGTTTCCCATTGGGAGAAGGCGCGAGCGCATACGAAACTGGGACGTGTTTTAATTTCCACGTGAAATTCCTCGCGTTCAATCGAAGCCTTCCATTCACCTCGCGCAAATACTAATTTCTTCTGTCGCTGTATCGGTTTTTCTCCAGGCCACCGCGGATCATTAACTTCTGTCGAGGCTGTTTTAATCGATTCTCCTTCTGTTTGACTAAATGACAGAACTTAATCGAATGCTTTATCTGTTTCGTATCGTGAAAATATTCTGGAGAGTTAAAATTTCTCGAGGAAATTACAATCTCCGAAGGGGAAGTATCGTTGCCACATAATTACAACATTCCTCGAAGATTTTATCTGCAATACAATTTACATAAGAATTCTTTATTACGACGATTGAAGATATGAGAATGAAAACCGGGTAAAGACTTCTTTGCCGATAAACATTGAATAAACAATACTTGTGGATTTTTTAAATATTCTTTAGAGGAAAATGTTCAGCCTGAATTTAAACATTTTTCTACTTTTTAGAAATATTTATCTGTGAAATTCTCTTCACACTTTAACTTTCGGTAATTTAAATATTAGCTTCTGACACTGACATTCCTTACCTTCTTCACTACACATATTTTCTCGAAACCACAAAAGTGAGAAATTTAAGCATTTCTTAACACGTTTTAATTTTCACACCTGGTTACTACTTCTTAGAGATATTCACCTGAAAAATTCACCTGGCTTGCTTCATTTTTGAAAATACTCCTCTCACCATACATTCACCGCTAACTTCCAGCAATTTAAATATTAGCTTTTAACTCGAACATTCTTTACCTTCTTCGCCGCAAGTATTTCCTCGAAGAGAGACCTTACAAAAATATCGTCACGCTGAATCGTAAAAGTGAGAAATTCGCGTTCGCTGTTCGCCAAATATTCACGTAGGAACGCGGACCAACAGGTTGGAGCGGTGCACAGGGAGAAGGATGGATCAAAGGCTAAAAAGAGACGTATTAAAATTGCGCAGGTAGAGTCCGAGGTATGCGAGAAAAACGAGCATTTCGATTGAGGAAACCCTGGAGGATTGAAGGCCGAATAATTCGATGCAAATTCACTGGGGAGGCATCGAGAGGATCCTTACCAAACCTCGAATATAACGTGAACCGGGACACGTTCGAAAATGTCCCAAGACTCGAATCCACGTACGAAAAGGTAAGAGGTTGACTTTAGCCTAGGAATTCTCAGAAAGGGCGTGATCAATAAGCAACGACGATGCTCGAAAAGGTCCCTGCGTTACTTCACCCCCTGGAGTCCCCATCGACCTAGAAACATTTTTGTTATAGTGTCATGGATCTGATGGTAATAATTAGTATATTCAACCTTCGTACGGAGTTTGTAAAGTTACACGAATAAGTAACTATGGGTCAAATTTGACCCAATATCATAAAAAAAAAAAAAATAAACCTCAGTTTATGTAATTATTACGGCTCGATATTGTAATAATTTATTAAACTTGTACAATATAATTTTAATATTATATTGAAATTATGTGAAATATTGTCGCTTGCCTTGCCGATCCTTGGCGAGACGATAAAACCATTTCTTTTCGTGTTCGGCCACATCGAGGTATTGTATGAGCACGTCATAATATATTTAGAGTTGTCCCTTGATTTCTAATATCTAGAATTATTACGTTCAATTCCTATGCGTTCAGCTAAAGGAAGGCTGTCTAAACTACTTCTCTTTCTCCTGTAATCTTCTTCTACATTAGTCACATCGTCAAAAGTACCTTCGCCATATTACAAATTTTGTTATTTATCGAATTACAAATACTGCTAGAAATATAAATAGGTATTGCAAATATTTTGTTGGCACGCCATTAAACAAAAAAACAAATTATACTTCGAAGCTGTTTCGAATGTAAAGAGTAACGTATTGCATGGGTCGTTGGAAGACTCGAACTGAACTCACGATGGCTGTATGTATTACGGAAAATAGAAAAGTATACATATAGCGCTCGAGACAAAAGTACATACAACAAAAGATATATTGGATCAAATTAACTCATAAATTCCATAAGTGTGTATGAAAAATATAATTGGTTTCCATTAAAAAAATCGTACAAATTTTGTTCTTGTTTTTCATAAACGTTATTAATGCTTATTAGATATTTAAGGATATAAAAAAGTTTCAATCCAAATCGTACATTTAATAACCGGGAAGAAAGAATTTGTGACTTGATTTTCGGTGAAATTGACACAATTTCCATACCAGGGTTAAGTACACTCCCGTTTTTAAGTATCGCGACACTTATTTAACGTGAACTAAATCTAAACAGTCATTAAGAAATTATTATTTGTACTGATATATCGTCGCAATAATACTACCGCTAGATAATTCATACTCCATTCGTAAGTTCTTAAAGAAAAAAGGCAATAATTAAATTTTGATTTCGTTGCACTACCTTTCCTAATTTTCGTAAATTCACATTTTTTGGATAAGTGTATCAGAAGTTGTATTTTCTTTGAAACTGTGGTATGCTAAAAGTGGACAACTACAGTAGCATTTGGAAATATTACATACGGATAAGCTTAGAATTCGGTTTTTCTGCTAGTGAATTTAAGATATTTCGTTGTAGCATTACGGTGACGATGTGATACTAACTTTGCTGAAGAAATGTAATTTGAATTGAGTAATACTTTCCGTACGAACATAATAGGTGTCATAATAGTTATGAACGGCAGTGTACACACCTGCATATTAAACGTGATCGTACTACACGTGTACAGGTTTATTAACGTATTTTAATTCGTGTAATTTTTAGTACTCGTGGGACTTGTGTATTTAAAGATCTCTATTTCACTTGTATTTGTCTCTTTTTTATCTCTGTTCCCGGTCTATTATGTCGAAATTTAGTCTTATCTGCAACCTGGCAATTTGTAACGCCACATTTTGTTTCCGCAAATTACTCGGGTAAATATACTTAACGACTTGAATATCAATTTATTATATAAAAAATTAGACGAATTAAAATACGGACACCTACTTAAATACACGTGAAACAGAAATCTCTAAATACTCGGGTAACACGTGTACTAAAAACACGTTAATTTACGTGTTCACGTGTACATATGCAGAATAAATATCGATAATTTAAATCGATCGATACAAAATTAATCCAATAATCAAATATATTGCTACAATCAATTTGGGAATTTATGATTGTAAAAAATATACATTATTGAAAATAAGTATCGATAACCTCGATTAAATTATAATCGTAAAAATATCGATCGATACAAAGTTTAATTCCTTAATACACGTGATATGTGTATCTTTAGTACATGTTCAACGCCACGATCTCTACTGTTCGTTCAAAATAAGAATAACCTCGCTCTCGGACCGATTTTCGTCCGTTCTGCGCATAGACACAGAGCGTAGCAGACGGTAAGACGGAGAAAAACGTAGGCGGTTAAGTGGGGGGTTTGGACGTTCTAGTGGTTCTAGCCCTGCCTTAGGCGCGTCCCATGCGCGAAATGAGGTTATTCTTATTTCGAACGAAGAGTAGTAATAATCGCTGGAAGATTACAATTGTCGAATTGTTTTCACTTACAAGGGAACTTCGGTAACCCGAAATATCCGATTTTTTTGAAACTTTGTGGGTTTGTAGGGGAACTCGGGTAATTTTTATTATGTTATATTATAATTTTTAATATGTTAATATTATCGGATAATGTGATATTTAAATAATTTTAATTGATACGTGCTTTGTGTGCTGTCATCGTTGCACTTGGAACGATGCGTTATCAGGTACCAAGTATGTGTGCGAATCTTTGGTATTTTTCTTTTATCTTTTTTTTTGGTATTTTGGTATTTATCTGCATTTATCTGACATATTTTTCGATATGATAGAAAATTTAAAATTTTTCACAACGGTAGTGGAAGATTTTTTATTTAAGAAAAGAATTTTTATTAATTTAATAGCGCAGTCTTATAAAGCATAAAAAGCCATTAAATTTTTATTATAAACAGTTTTTTATATCTACTACAGTTTTAAAGATATACAGGGAAATAGGGTAACACTTATCTTCATTCAAGGGTTGTTTGCGCCCCGAAGAACCGAAATTGAGCCAAAAAAAAATTGCCCGATACTTCTCTTGAGGTCCCCTACAAACCCACAAAGTTTCAAAAAAATCGGACGTTTCGGGTTACCGAAGTTCCCTTGTTAGACCCATAAATCCTAAGTTTTATACAGGGTGGATCATAAATCGCTGGAACATTTCAAAAATGAATAACTTTTTCTTCTATAATGGTAATTGATATAGTTTACTCAATTTTAGTAATAAAGTTTATTAAATCTGTAAATGGTAAAACGATTTATGGGCCACTCTGTATAAATACTGTTAACGAGGAAGATTCGAAGGTGAATTGTCATTTCTTTACTTCTACCTTTTAGGGATATTTTTTAATAAAGTATTATACGTAGTATGATTTTTACGTATTATCGTTACATGAAATTCTAACTCACAGAAATGAGGCAGTTTCCTACAGAACACATACCAATAACAACTTCTAATCTTTTCTGCAACAGGAACCTCCAACGAATCTTATCGAAAGTAACTACGAAAATCTTGAACGTTGTACCCGAAACTAGATAAAATAAAACCACAAAAATTCTTAACAGATAAGATCGTACGAAATGTTTCAAGTTACATACCAGCCAAAAGTTTCGAATCGCTTATATTAAGTCTGTTGCCAATTTTTCATGGAAAGGTGCAAAAATCAAAAGCAATTTACTTCGAAAACTTTTATAACTTTTTTCTAAAGATCTTTGCATAATTTGCAACGCCTAGTGGTCTGAAACTTTTCAACGGCAACGTGTATGCCAAGAATCCTGGAAATTCCAACGATATTTGCACAACGTGTGACTTGAACGTGAAACTGAGAATAGGAAATCATACAACTTCTTATTGTAATGGAATCATTCCTATAAATGATCAAATCGTGGCAGTCGAATTTTAATTCCTGAGCATCTGTATTATTTTTTTTCTTTATACAGTATATTTTCTTACATCAACTGTTATCATAGTATTTCCAAAAACAAACCATTTTGTAAAGATCCAGAAAATAATATAACAACGAATGAAAAGAAGTGTACCGAATTAAGCGGTAAAAATCGTATTTAATATTTTTCTCTACGTCAATTTTGTTTTCGAATTATTCTAATTAATAGTCTGCCAGCCCCGAAGTTTTAAAAGTGATTTCGACAGTGCTATAGCATTTGGATCCACGCCTATTGGGTCATGTAATACATCGTTGTAAAGCGTATGAGTAGAGTCCAACACGGGTGGTCATTGCTACCGCAAATGTCCCATTCCGAAAATATAAGTGAAATTAGGATACAGTGAAAAAAATTCATTTCTTTTTTTTTTGCAAAAAGATCATTTTTCTTACGGATACATTTGTCATTACGAATATTTAGGCGTGAACGGAGACCTTATACAACTATGTAATCTATATAATAGATTTACACTTTTCGATCCATATTTTCTAAATGGGACATTCACGGTAGCAATGACCACCTATGTTGGACTCATACGCTTTCCAACGATGTATCATACGACCCAATAGGCGTGGACCGAAATACTATAGTGCAGCCGTGATTTCACCCACTAAACATGAATATTAGTAGGTAAACAAAATATGTGTCAAATATTTTCGAAATCCCTAGTTGTATGGAAAATTTTGTCAAAATCGGGGTGCATCAGTTTATATTCCTCGTTAGGCTACATTCATAATTACCGGTATGCGGTGTGGTTCGCCTAACGTGACCATCTCAATTATTTTCATCATTAGTGGATCGATTAAATTTTTTTTTGTCACAGAGGATACAGACGTTTCAGAGGATCTTTGATGTGACGACATTAGATTTTTTCTGTTTTTTTTTAAAATAAGTTTTAAAGGCCACGTTCAATTTTTTTATGTGTAACCCTATAGTTTCTTTTTTCCTTTTTTTTTTTGTCTATTAGCTAGCAGGCATTGAGACAAATTCAACGACCACAATATAATACATTTTTTTATATATAAAATTTATACGTAAAAACATTAAACGTTATCTTAAAGACTTATTTAAACAAAGGACACAGGAAAAATCTAAGGATAGGTTGGAGATCCTTAGAAACTGTATCCTCTATGACAAACAAAATTTTTAGTGGTCTACTAATAATGAAAACAATTGAGATGAGCAGGTTAGGCGAACCACCCAGTATATTAAGTCATCCTATAACTTCGTGCCGAATTTTATAATTTAGATCAATATTTTCAACGAACCTTTAAATTTGATAAAGGAAAAAAGAAAGCGTAAGCGCTTTCTCATTCCACATTTTTTGTTTTTGTTAAGGCTATTATGTCGTCGCTGTAGAATTTTCATGGATTTTCATTAAAATATTTTTCACTTTCGGCACGAACTTATGGGATAACCGAATACACTACCGCTGATAAGTTTAATCTCGTAATGCGAAACTGCAATGTAACGTAATTCAATTCAATTCATTTCGCCGATGAAATTCCAATTCCGTTTATCAAATTCAAAGTGTTACATCGAACTCAACAGAGTGAAGTTATAATTCTCGTCTAATTCCGGCTTAATTCTTTTTCTACAGTTACCTTTCAGTTTCACTGATATTTTTTAACGAATGCTGTTAGAAGGATTCTCTACACTTCCTGTGTATCTCTGTTGTAAACGGTGTCGCAGTTTTTAACTGTAAGTAACAAATTACAAGTGTATCGTATAAATTGTGCAACAGTTCTTTTTCTAGAATGAAACGTTCTAAAATATGAAATCTAAGTCTAACAGATGCGATTAAACTTTCGAGCTGTAGTGTATATTTGCAAGCGATAAAGACCGTGTCGACACGTTCGCTGCCACCGAATATCGACAGCCCGCTGGACGATACACTATCGACCGCACATGCTGCGTCGGTGGCAGTGAACGTGTTAAATAGCTGAAATAAATTAGAAAAAAAAAAAAACGAAAGAAAAACGACGACTGTTTCAGAACGACATTTCGTCGAACGATGACGGTACTGGCCACAGTCGAGGCTACTTCCAACAAACGTAACAACACGAACGTGTACGACGACGTCGCCATTTTACCTGGATATAATGTCACCACGACAGCAAGCGGCGCGGCCAGCAAGACGAGCCACTTCGACACCGATTTGCATGGGAATGTTAACATTCTTCTAGGCGGGTGAGTAGCCTCTCATCGGCCTCTCGACGTGTCGATACTCAATATCGAACGGTCGATTCTCGATCGACCACGCGTCATTTCCGCGTACGTTTCGTTCGTGGCTTTCAGCGACTTTCTACCGTGACTTGCCTGAAGGAAACGTTATCGCGTCTTCGATATTTATTCGAGTGGAATTGGAGTGATAATATTTGTTTGGGGAATATCAGAAATCAGTATTTCGTTTGTGAGCCTTGTGTGCTTTGGTTTTGGTGAGGACACTTTTTAGATTAGACACGTTATTAATCTGCAAAGTAAATTTGTCATAGAAATAAGTTTCATGGAGTTGTAAGACACGGTTCAATTTTTTTTTTCTGAGAATTATTTTTTTTTTGAGAATCGAAAGATTCATTTAGAGAGTAATTATTTCGAATTGTTCCCTTTTCAAACTGACTGTTAGTTTTTCGAATTTAATTCGTTCATTTTTATAGCCACTTTTGTGTTCTTTAGTTTAGCGAAGGCAACTTTTATCGATTGAATATTATTAATCGATGAAATAATTTGTAATATAAATAACTTCCATGGAACTGTAAGGCAAGTTTCGTTTTTTCTGAAAGATAATTATTTCGATTCCTTCTTAACAATTAAAAAATTCATTTAGACATTAATTTTCCAAACTGATCGTTATTTTCTCCAACCTGTTTCTCATAACCATCCTGCGCTATAAACGACTGCGAAGACCTTCCCTCCAGGTACTTTTATTTTGAAACGCTTCATTAATTGTATCGACCCGACGTGTTGCGTAATAACGGGCGACGTAAATACGCTTTATTTAAAATTTAAATATCGTCCGTACGTTAACATAAGAGGATATAAAGAAGCTTCTACCTAGCCTGGAGGATCAAGAATCTACCAGCAGAAATTTGCATAGTCGCCTTCTTTTTTTTTTTGCCCGATATTTAAATTGGGAGCAACGTTAATCACCGTGCAGCGTCTCCTTGCTTAATTAAAGTCCACGGAACTTTCTTGCCGCCACGAGCCTCAGAGCAAAGAAAAGATAACATCCGGTAAGAATGGCCTAGCCTCCTTTCTATGTCATAGAACGTATTTACCGAGTAAACCACTAGATCAGTGTTTCTCAAACTCGATTAGCATAAGGAGCGGGACTTCGGCCGTTTTAGCTGAAGTTTTCACGCTTCACAACTAACAAGAATAATTCATAGACGGGCACTCTTTCTTCTTTTTTGAGAAACTGCAGCCGCGTGAAATTTTCAGATTGAGAAACTTCAGAAAATCTTCAGAAAATCGTGGAATAATTTACCGTAGAGCAAGGGTAGAGATATTTTCAGTAGACAGACAAATATTTACCGAAGTAAAGTAAACACGTTCTTTTTAAACGGATAGTATAGGTAAATATAGGTTAGGTGTCTCTAAGGGATACATTTCCGGTGGAAATTTAACATACACTTTGGTAATTTTTTAGTTTAAAATGAAATTTTTGAAAGTCGACCCTTTTTACATGTGTCACTTCAAATGTTGAAGTTATATCTTAAGAAATGGAACTTTTCTCCACGGAAGACGGAAATAAAGACATATTTGGATTTTCACTTCGGTTACGAGATGTAGACAATTCAGCATGCGTTGAATATGTAAAATCAGTGAGCGTCAATTTTTGCACTAGGAAACGAAATTTTCTCACGCAATATTCAAAAAAACGAAACTCAACATGCACAAAATTCTCGTTTCAATTGTTTAAAATCAAATCATCATGCATCATGTTCGGAAATGAAGGAACGAAACCTCGATTCCATCTTCGGTGAAATGAAACATATTTCATGCATTATGAAATTCACAGACGAATGATTTTCAGTACAATTTTCAAACAACTAAAATCTCCAGGTAACAAACTTAGAATGAAAAAAAAGGAAACGAAACATCACAAACCTTCGAACACCACTGAAAACAAAAGAAAGTTCGTAACGAACTTTTATCATGGATTAAACAAACGTCAGGTGAAGCATTTTTTCGCAAGAAACAGAGATTGTAGCCGCAATAATCGTCGAGACGGCTGTATTACGGTAATCTTGAACTCTGGGTTAGTCTGGTGAGGTCTAGCAAACTCAATGCCATCATTTTCATTCCGTTATTTCTTCAATTGTAAAAAGAACGCGTCAAATGAATTTTAATCTCACCTTGTCAATTTTATTAGGTTGGTGCATATGAAACTTTAGATACATTGTGTTTCTTCAAAAAATAATGTATTTAATCAAAATAATTTCCACACGATTCTATACACTTTTTCCAACGATTAACCAGTTTCACTATTCCACATTTTTAAAAATCGTGAGGATAATTTATTTGTTAAAAAACTGTTCAGATGTTTGAAGAAATGGTAATCTGCTGGGAAAAGATCGAGTGAATAGTGAAGGACGTGGCAAAATTTCATATTCCTTACCCTCGATTGTTTTCAATAATTTTTCTCAAAATGATATCATTCTAGGCAACCTAATATTATTCTTAAGAAAAATTCAATTTCTTCTATTCTCAAATGATTTTTTTATTATTCATTACACTTGTACTACAGGAAATTCCTGTTTTCTTGACTATGGTGTACAAAAATTTACGATCAAACATTTAATATATGGCACCGACACGCCAATTTCACCTGTTTCATCTACACCAACGCAATAAATTCCTTTTATCCTGAAATTCATCAATGAGATTTCAGTGGTTTAGGACTTTGAAGCAATGCAAAGAGAAAATAAAAGTTCTAAAATCACCAGACTAACGTTGGGCTTTAACCCATAACGACAGACATCTGTCTTTAAGCCATTACTACCACAAACCTATAGTCTCTCAGACTATTTGGCAATTTTGTTTTTTAACCCCTTAAACGTTATGGTTGATCATTGAAAGAGCAATTTACAGCGACACGAATTTTTCACAGGTAGCGTAGATACAATTCTTTTAAATATTCAACCCCCTATAACCCGATTTTTCTTCGTTCATGAGAAGAAAAATTGTTGTTAATTAGAACTTTTCGTTTTAATAGGAGAAAGAAGAATTAATAGTTATTGCAAAAAAAATTGTAATAGTACAATAATATGATACAATAATACAACAGTAAACAAAATCATACTCGTAAAATATATAGACACATGGTACGTAACTTCCAAATAGCGTTATAGAAGGTTAAAAGAATTGTACATAAGAAAAATGATAACACGATTATGAATATATTAGGTTGGTCCATAAGTTCGTGCTAATTATCGCTAATTATCCCTATCGGCTATGTTATATACGTTATTCGATAGCTTGTTCTCTTTTTCTGTGGTATCGTGAATTTTTTGCTTCTGTCCAAATAACTATAGAGTGTCAGATTAACAAAAATGCGTATTTCCAACATATTTTACTTTATGAGTTCAATCGTGGTTCTAAAGTTGCTGAAGCTGCCCATAGCATTTATACTGTCTACGAAAGAAGACATGTTATTAACAGAACAGTATAAAAATAGGCAAGTTTGTCATAAATGATGAGTCATGTTCTACCGTTTTAATTCGATAAGGAGCGTTTAGAAGCTCTGCTTTATAATGACAATCAACTGGTGAATTAGTCGAGAAGATGCACTGCTCTCATCAAACAGTGCTCCGCCATTTAAAGACAATGGGAAAACTGCAAAATCTTAGTTCATACATGTCACATCATCTGAGCCAAGAGAACAAAAACCAGGAAAAACCGCACGAACTTATGGACCAACATAACATGAGGAATGAAACGTGGAAAAATTTATTCTTTTGTGAGGTATACGAATATGTCCGTCATTCTCGCCTGTGTATTGGCTTTGGTCATGACGCATACATACGACATAACCGCTCAAGGGGTTGAATCACTATGTTGTAAAAGTAAATCTAACATTATTATTTCATTTAATCATACATAGGTATATTTGTTTGTTAAAGTTTGTTAAAGTTTAAAATTCTCAACTGGATTGCGATAGTAAAATAAAAATTCAGACTCGTCTCTCGAAGACGAGTGGTCTGTAATTAGGGATTAAATACGCGTCGTGTTTTAACCCTTTTAATCCCATTTTCGGTAGATTCGATTCACGTATGAAGAATCTTTCCGATTAGCTGTGGAAAATTTCCTCGAAATACACTGCTCGTTAAGAAAAATTGCAGCACCTAGAAATTGAGGTTGCACAAATCTGCAAATCACATTCCCTTTGAATATTCCAAGCAATATAATACGTAAATTTCAGATTTGTGTGATTTCATTTTTCAAGTTTTGAGAATTTTTTCGGCGTGCAGTGTATTTCGGACAATCTGGAAACTAGAAATTTTTTTAATAAAACCTTAGATCCTCCTTAGTTCCTCCCGTGGATTTCTAATAACACACCGTAGTATTACGCCGGGAAGAAAAGGGTTAAACACCGGTTCGCCAAAGTGTCGAGCTCGAGGAGCAAAAATCGCCTCGACGAGCCGTGAAATCGCAGACTGGTACTTTTTTATTCGCGCGAAACGACGAGCACTATCGCCTATAAAAGACAGCCGTCAGGTTTCTAACTTTAAAATAAAAAAGCGGGTCGTTAGAGGCGGTTCAAGGGATGAGTGAAAGCGACATTGCATTTCTAACTCGCTGCAGACTATTGTCGAACTTTGGACGGTTGTTTCTGTTGCTCATTATTTTTTTTTGTCGTTTCTCTTAGGTTAGGTTAGGCAAATCAATTTCTGGCTGGTGGTTTTTTACTCACTTTTCTAGGAGGAATCGCTTCCTTGATGGGTGTACCATGATTTAGCGGATAGTTTCGTTTTCTGTCGCCTATAATATAGAGGGTAGTTCGTTTAACTCGATCATCTTTGCAGCAAATTCAAATTCAAGAATATGTTTGTTTTTTTAAGGTAACGCTCTATTTGAAAGTATTCTTCTTAATGGAGAAGAATTAGAATGAAAATTTCGAGGGTCGTCGAGCTAAATGGGACACATATATTCGTTTCCTGTCGTCGATAACGTAGAGGGTGATTCGTTTAACTCGATCATCTTAGTGGCAAGTTCAAATTCAAGAATATGGTTTTCTTAAGGTAATGCTGTTTTTAAAGAATCCGAATTATAATGAAAATTTCAAGGGTGGTCGAGTTAAATGGGACACGTTAACGTATTGATTAAACTTCGTCCAGGTATTGGTGTTCTTAGAAGATTGAGCGGAAAAGAGGTGTGTTCTTGTGTGCAGGCTGAGTCACTGCAAATTGGCTCGTTAAATAGGAGAAAAATGTTTCACAGAATTATCTTGCGTATATATCCTTTTCAGTTAACGTTATACAATAACCATTATATTAACACATTGTTAATGTGTTCTACAGTTGTTCGATAAATTTCCATCTTCGCTATCTCAGTTCAAATATCCTTCGAC